TATATATATATAGAATAGTTAAAAATAAAAAAGGAGTAAAAAGACAATTTTACCCTTATTTTTTTTTTCTTAAACCTGTTTAATATGTTTTGATTGCATTTAATTAAAACCTAACTAAATTATCCCTTATAATGATTCCCACAAAAAATAAAACCCCTCTGTTCCTCTCTCATCAACTCTTATTCATCTCCCAAGTCCCAACCAATTCATTCAATGAATTGCATTAAATGGTTCTCGAATATGTTGCCCAGAAATTCATTGAATTGGACAACTCTCCAGTTTTTCATAAAAAAACCCTTACCCCCCTTTCAATTTCCCTATTCTCTCTCATCTTCTCTTTCCTCTTCTACGTTTTATCTGTGAAACCCTAGCTCGTATTCCTCTATTTTCTCACTCGAAAAATGTCAAAAACCCTAGCATACGTTTTATCTGTATGCTTGTCTTGCTCTAACAAGTGCTATACAGACTTGTTGTTGAGGTAACAAGCTACAACATCTAACTGAAAACAAAGTATACCCTCTAATGGAATAGGTAGTCAAGCCTAATTTACTTTTGCATTCATTAGTTAATAAAAGGTTACATCTTAACAATCCCTAACCTAATCATTCATCACATGACTGCCTACAAATTGTTAAATGAAATTCTACCAAAATACACATAACCAAAGCATACAAAGCTAGAAGTAAAAACATTAGCTAATGGGAGTCAAAAACCATATGTGAGTCCTTCTTTTGTTATGTGTGGAAGTCATGTTGTTACTGAATGATTATGCTCTATCTTACCTAATCTGCATCCACCTTTGTCTCAATGTTGTCTGCATTCTATTGATTGATTGGAATGAAAAGTGTGTTGAGGGTCAACAACTTGTTGAATGAGTCTCCTTTCACATTCCGAAAATTCTGGAAGCAGTCCTAGGCTGTCCAACCTTTTCTTGCCCATATGTGGTGGATTGAAGTTGCCCCCCCTTGCTTTTCTAGGATCTTCTTCATTACACCTTGCAAAGTGATCCATGTGTACTTGTTGAGTATAGGGTCAAACCACTCAAAAGCCTCATACACTTTCTCTATTAACTCATTTGTTGTAGTGGGAAAGGACTGGTACTGCAGTGATTGAATGACCTTGAATAGACCAAGGTCTAGCACATTTAAATTTGGAGATTGCGCTGGTTGATAGACCATATGTATGTTAAACCCATCACTCGTGCAGGCTGCAATGAACTCCTCATCCATTGGAATATGATGTGGCCTTGCATTGTCCCTTTGAATGAAAATGTCTTTAGGAAGACTTGGATGTCATTGCCTTTTAATCGCTAGAATGATGTTGTTGAGTAGTATTTTCCTGATTTCTTCTTTGGTTACACTCTGCACAACCTTTGTTTCCATCACCCCTACATATCTGTTTTTTGCTTTTCTTCTTAGCCCTTTGCTGGTTGGTAAATGGGAAGATGCCATACTTTCCATCATGCAACATCTGCCCATTCATGTCATACAAGGGCTTACCAATCATAGCCATGAACATAGCCTTGATTTTGTATCTCTTGGATTGTTGACATCTGTAGGGGTTTTCTTCCTTAGGTAAAAGGTAGAACCTCCTTGTTTCAGGATTCGTATAGAACCACTTCTCATTTATGTGTATAACATGTTGCATATCCATGAAAGTAGGGTCCTCCACTGCTAGTATAGGGTGAATATGCCCCTATGCCCACTTCATTCTTGCCACTTTATGGTTTGATTTTAGTGTTGGATGGTTAGCTGATGTATGTATTTTGAATATGCTTTTTTCTTTAAGTTATGGAGAAACCCAAGACTTACTTTCAGAGTTGTTTCATATAACTCCTTTCTATGATCCTTTTGTACAAAGGCACTGACTGTAAGAACTCATCTGAAATGTCTCTTGGTTTGGGACCAGTCTTGCCAAGTTTCTTGCTTCTAACATCAATCACATTGCCCTGGCCTGTGCTATGCTTTGCTTTACAAATTGCCATACTCTCAATGATGTGCTTTTGTGAATGTCATATTTCCTTGCTGTTTGTGACAGAAAACCTCTTGTCAGTTCCCCTCCTTGCATGTTTTGAAGGAAATCATCTACATTTTTTTTACTGTTAGTTGCTTTTTGCTTGATGGTTGTTGTTCAACCTCTTCTTCAACCTCACTGCTGTCTGCATTCTCATCATATTCTTCCATACTTTCATCAACACTTTCATCCCCACTATTGTATTGATATTGCCCCTCATTTAACAGTTGGTCCACATCAAAAAATTCCTGCTAAAAATAATCTTCCATATTTCTTGTTGGTTGTTTTGATGTGTTGTGCAGATTGCAAGCAAGGTGATGAAGTTTTTTTTTTGGCTGCTGTCGTTTTTTGAAGAAGTGGTGATGAACGGAACCCAAATGCTGCCCTTAGTTTAGGACTAACTTCAGATTAGGCATTAAATATTTTGGACTAATTATGGTTGTAATTAATGGGTTTTCTTTTGAAGAAACTGAATTCTTAATTTGGTGCCCATGGTGGCTATGGTTTGTATTTAACGCACAATTAAAATTCTCTTTGCCTATTTATAAGAAGGCAAGTTTATGTTTAAATTGTATGAGAAATTTCAAGTGATATTTGAATTTGGATGTAAAATTGATTTGAATTGAAAATTTTGGTGGAAAAGTGAAATTTTGAAACTTTCACACCAAAATTTGAGAGGGAAAATAAATTCCCATTTCTTTGGATAGATTTCCAGCCAAAAGTTAAAAAAAAACCCACTTTCTCTCTCCACTTTCCCACTAAATTAAACCCACATGCAAAATAAATCAAAAGGGACCACTTTCTCTCTCCTACTTCCCTCTTTTTTTACAACTTAATTAAACCCACTCAAACATTATCAACCAACACTAAAAGTTTTGCCTAGGAGTCTATAAAAACCTCATTTGTCCCTATATGAATGTAATTTTAGTTTAATATTATATGCAAATTTTATGTGTAAGTTTTATAGGAAATAAAAGGTTTTAAAAAATTTAGTACCCTAATTTCTTTATTTAGGATAGTGAAGGCCTGTTCACTTCAGCTAAATTTCAGTTCATTTCCAATCAGTTCAGTTCAGTTTAGCTTCAATCAGTTCAGTTCAGTTCAGTTTAGCTTCAATCAGTTCAGTTCAGTTCAGTTCCTAATTTCCTTCTCTCATAAAATATTCATTTCATTTCTATTCAGTTCAATTTAGCTCCAATCAGTTCAGTTCAATTCAGTTCAACTCTGATTATTTCAGTTCAGTTCAGCTCAGTTCAGTAAATGTGCATGGCCAGAAAAAGGGCTAGAATATTTTTAATGACAATATGACATGATGGAGTGGAACTATATATGTTTTATTCTTTAATTAGTTATCTTTTGTCATTGTATATTATCTTTTCTCAACATATATCTTGTCAAGGATATTATTTTATCAGATATATTTCATTCTTTATTGATATATATATATATATATATATATATATATATATATATATATATATATATATATATATATATATATATATATTATGCGAAATATTTATAGAATATAGAAGGTATTAAATTATATTTGCTTTATTTAAGATAGCGGAAAAGAACAGGAAAATATTGCTTGTGAAGGTGACACGTGGACCTATTTTTCTGAATGTCCTCTGTTTTAGTATAGTTATTGATATTGATTGATTGATTGATGGATGGTTATTTATTGACATTGCCTCCAAACGTTAAACAACTCTACAAAACTACAAAAGTAAGCATTCTACATTTGTACATTAAGTTAAGTAAACCTTTTCATTGGGTGCATACACATACATACCATGACACCAATTTAAGAGGGCACCTTAGCTTCTTAGGTGTTGTTTGGTTCACTTGGGAATTAGAACTTCCCATGAATTGTAAATTTATGGGAATTAAATTCCTACAATCAAATTCATGGGAATTTATAAAAATTGTTTGGTTAACAATGAGGGAAGTAACTTCCATGGGAATTTCCACTTACCTAGGGGGAGTTAGGTAAGTAAGTTCCTACATTTTGTGGGAACTCAAAATTCCTAGGAAGTTCCACTTCCCCCATTTCACCAAATTATTGTCAACCAAACAACACACTAAAATTGCAATTCCTCATGTTTTTTTATGTCAAACAAACAACCCCTTAGAATATGATACTCCCTCCGTCCCTAAATTACATTCCTCTTTAGAAATTTACACGGGAATTAAGGAGGAAAGAATAAGACAAATAACAATAATTAGATAATGCAATGGGAAGTACAAAACATTAAATAATGTTTTTGAGTAAAACAAAGATAGGTTAGTGATTACTCATGACATGTCATCAATCCTTTGCAAAAAAAAAGACCAATCACAATGCTCCTAATTGAAAAATTTTAACCAATCATATTCATTGTAACTTGACACAAGGATTCTAAAAAATTAAAGGCTGAAAAAGTACATTAGCCAACCAAACATTAAAAGTGGAATGTAAATACATTCATTATACATTAAAATTACAACTGAAAAAGAGAGTGTATTTGGGATATTTAGAAAAAAGAAACTTATTAAAAATAGAAAGGTGAAATGTAATTTTGGAATACCCAAAATAGAAAGGAGGAATGTAATTTAGGGACGGAGGGAGTAATCAATTTTGTAAATAATTGGTCAATGATTGACATAAAATTCCTGTAATTAGGAAAAAAAAATCTCTATTATGAAGCATCAGAAGTCTCTAAAGTATCATTATTATCGTTAAATTACTAAAAGTATTGATAAAAATCTACTAGTACAAAATTTGACTGATTTTACTAAAGTAAATTAATTTTTTTTTTGACACAACTAAAGTACATTAATAATATCTCATCAGATTAAACTGTTTTTCTTAGTTTTCAATATCAAGTTAGAAGTTTCTCCCAAATTCCCAATACCATCATTATTCAAAGCAATTGACATTTGCCTAAACAGTAACCTTATTTAACAAATCAAGGAAAAGCATTAATTCCTCTATACACCATCTCAATCTCCCATTCTCATTTGTGCAATTTGAAAACTAGAAATGAAAAAAGTTAAGAACTTGTAGTTTAGTACCCTTATTTGAAAATGAGAATGATTCCCAGTCAAAGCTGCTGTTACCTTCAGCAGACAAACTTTGACAATGCGTTTTTTGTTTGATAAAAAATTATGCATGGTTGTTGAAACCTCTGACTTAGTTAAAAACTTTGACACTGTTGTTTTGGCGCCTACTACTAGCTCTTTCAAGGTGGGATCTTTTGGGTCTACGAATAACCCTTTTTTTACACTCCAATTTCCCTTTTGTTTGGGTTCTTTCCATTAAGAAAATCAACCAAATACCCCCTTATTCAAGCACTTTATTCTCCCTTTTTTCTCATCTGGGTACAGTGATTCTCTGTAATTTGAGGTAATTTTTGCTCTTTTTTGAATCTAGTGATAATTTAATCATATGGGTTTTGCTTATTTTATGAATTAATGGTGATTTATGTTCTTGAATTTATGTGGGTGCTTGTAATTTTATCTGGGTATTGATTAATTTGATCAGATTTTGCAAATTTTGAAGCTTAATTTTTATCTGAATCCCTAATTTACCTTTTATTTGATAGTTGATCTGTAGTTGGATTTTTTTTTAAATTTTTTTCCCTGTGTTTGAACTGATGTTGGTTTGTAGTATGATGTAGTATGATGTTAACTGATTAAGTATCTTTTTTGTGTTTATGTAAAGCTGTAATTATGTTGATTGGGATTAGGTGATATGGGTTTCAGTAATTATGTTGGCACAGTGATTCTTATGAGTTTATATGCTTTAATTGCTTTGTACAGCAGTCTGTTTATCTGGTTTAAGGAGTATGCTACAAGGTTAGGGTTGGAATTTTCGGGTTGGAGTGCCGGGCGTTTTGTGCTCGGATATTATGGGACAACTGTGTTCAAAGAGTTTGAGAATTGAGAAAGTGAATGTAGATGCTGATCCATATGCAGTGGGTGGGGGTGTTCAGTCCAGTAATTTGTGGACTTCTAGACAAGCTGATTTGGGTGTAGAATCGAAGCGTGGAAGCTTGGAAAAGCAGTTTCGTGATCAAGATGATCAGCAACCTGAGGAGCTTTACTCGAATCATGTTCGCTGCAATAATATTAGGGAGAGTGACCTTGATGATTATTACGATGGAATTCCTCGTGTTCCGACAGCGTTATCACATAAGTCAAGATCAATGAGGTCTACTCAAGCTGCTGTCGCAAAGGTTTGTTGATTTATCCATTTTCACTTGAACATGGCAAATAACCTGTTACTTAGGATTATAGGTTTTATTTATTGGTATGGATATATGACAGAGTAATTTGGTCAAAGTAATAGCTAAGATAATGGATATCACATTTCTTGAACCAGTTTTTGAAGAGGAGTCTTAAAGTATATCTTGATAATTTGCCTACATTTTTCCTTTATCTTGAACTAATTGTCTCAAATTTACTTTTTGTGGTCTTTGAGGTATATTTATTTTTTATTTTTTTTTTTACCTTTTGTAAATTAAACAATTTTATAGCCGAAACTAAAATAAGTATGCTTCATATATCCTAAATGTAAACTATGACCACAATAAGAATAATTGCACATCTTAGATTATTAAATTTTTTAAATTGCTTAAAGTTTACTAACTCTTGACTTTTGACTTTTCATTTGAGACATTCCATTCATGACTCTTGGAGTATGTTATAAGTTATCAAGACCCCTGCTCCTTTCTTCTAAATAAAATAAGTATAAAGGTTATAATTTTCGATAAGCTTTAGTTAGGCTTTTTTTTTTTTTTTTTTTGGTGTTTAGAGAGCTACAAGGGCGGGGTTGAGAATCGATCCCAGAACCTCCTAGAGGCTAGAATCAGGAAGGAAGCTCTAACCACTTGAGCTATCCCTCACTCTCATAAGCTTTAGTTAGTTTATGACAGGTCTTATAAGTTCATTCCAACTAAAAAAAAAGGGTTAAGATAGTAGCCAGTAGGCTCAGATAAATCAAATTTAGGAATTCTATTTTAAAATAACATAGCCTAATAGATGTTTTATGAGCTTTGACTTGAGAATTTCCATCTGAAAAATGAATTTTAGGCAGAGATAGTATCTTCTCTTTAAATATACTTTGTATTTGAAGTATATTGTGATTATTTATTTATTTAGTTTTTATAATCTTTGTGCCTTGTTTGATGTGCTTTTACTTAATGCTAATTTCTTTGGCCTCTTTTTTATTTTATTTTAATTTTACTTTTTGGCGATTGGACCTTGAACGGAGGATTTTTATTTCAAAACTGATCTATGAATTACTTGAGGCAAAAGAGGAAGAAGATGCTTGCTATATTCTGATATGAATTTATTTGGGGGTGTTACTGATGTATTTTGTTAGGCTGTCAGCGTGTGAATTTATTGGCAAATAGAATCATCTTCTCCATCACAAGTTTTTGCACACATGTGGAGGAATCAAATTATATACAACTAGTACTTGCACTGTTTCAAAATTTGGGAATTTTACACTGTAACATATGAACTATGGAGCTTTATGTAGAAAAGAAAAAGGTCCATTGACTTCTACCCTTGCGGCCTTGCATCAAATATTGAATTAATTGGTCATAATAAGGGAAAAAAATGGCAACATTGAAAATATTTCAGTTATTGATAATTGGCTTTTGGCTTTGCAAATTAACTTACTTTATTGATAAAATAAAGCATATTTCGTATATCCTTTTCATTTAAAAGTAGAGGAAGTGAATGCTAATTATCCAAAAAATATCTTGAAAAAAATTGCAAACTTGAAACTTCTGACTTAATTAACTGCAACTGAAATATGACAGTCCAGGGAAAGTATATAAATAGATAAAAAATAAAAAAATAAAAAAATCTAAACGAGAAGCCAGATCCTTATAAATAGTACATACCTATGAGTTGAAACAAGTGAATTGAGATACACAATGGATTTAGACGCCTTTATTTTTTATTGTGATATTGTAATGTGCACTGTTTCCTACATTGTATTTTGTCATTTGGACTATAATCCGCACTTAAATCTTCATTGGGCTAAATCAAGCTCATGTGAAAAGAGAGTTTGACCACATACAAGCCAACAAGGTTCCATACTAAAATCAATTGGTAATATTTGGAGTAGCCACTAGACTTATAAATTTGTCTTTCTCCCTATTATTCTATGACATGGAACAAGAGTCCTGACTCACATGTGGGTTATATTTTAGCAATATGATTTTGCTACTTATACTATGTTAATTTATAAAAGCCTTCTGCAATACCCTTCTCTTTTACTACTATATCTTTTCCAATAGATTTAGTCTTTTGTAGGTTGACTCTTATTTCTGCTTGTTTAATTCTTATCTGGGTTGGAAAGGTTATAATCCTGATATGCGTATGATTTGACATCTCTGCTTGGGGCTGTTTTAAAGCTTTTGGTTATTAGCGCTTATTGATTGTTGTCTTTTATTAATAGTTGTCAATGTAATCTACAACTTGTTTCCTTACCTTAAACATACTTTATAATCTTGTACATTTCAGGTGTCTGAAGTGAGCGTACGTTTAGGCAGGGCTGGCACCATGGGGCTTGAGAAGGCTGTTGAGGTCTTAGATGTGCTTGGTAGTAGTGTCACTGACTTGAACTCAAGAAGTGGATTTGCTTCAGGAGTTATATCAAGAGGAACTAAAATCTCTATTTTAGCTTTTGAAGTTGCGAATACCATCATGAAGGGTGCTTGTCTTATGCATTCCCTGTCAGAGTCGCGTATTTGCCAATTAAAAGAAGAGGTTCTTCATTCAGAAGCTGTACAAAAATTAGTGTCCAAAGATATGGATGAACTCCTGAGTATTGTTGCTAGTGACAAGAGGTAGTAGTTATAATCTTAAATGATGCCTTTGCAATTGATTCATATTTTCGCCTTTCATTCTATATTCACTCTTTTGAACATATGTTGTTTAATTTCTGATAGGGAAGAACTAGCTATATTTTCAGGAGAAGTCATCCGCTTTGGGAATCGCTGTAAAGACCCTCAATGGCATAACTTGGATCGTTACTTTTTGAAGTAATAGCAATAGCATGAACGTTAGTATTTTCTGTTAATAAATTTGTTACAATATGTTTCTCATGTTTGTTGCTTTATGCTCATTTTTGATCCCAGACAAAGCCGAGAAGTTGGCCCTCGTAAGCAACTGAAGGAGGATGCAGAGTCAGTGACGCAGCAATTGTTAATTTTGGTTCAGTATACCGCTGTAAGTACAGCATGCTTTCGGTATTTAATCTGGGGATTTATTGTTGTTTGGGAGCTTATAAAGATCCAAGTTGGCATAAAACATATTTTTGGTTAAAGATGCTGAACATGCTAAAATGCTTTATGTGAGAAGAAACTGGAATGGAATCTAATGCTTCATATCAGCTCCTTGACCTGCAGAATATTAAGAATTCCGCTCTTTAAATAGTAGAGGCTTGTCTGTTTCCCCTATATATCAGACTTAAATTAGTGAACATTTTACCAGGAGATGGCAGTGGGTAGTTGTGAGTCATATCAGGCCCATGTGCCTAGCAGGCTAAGTTTGCTCCAGCCCATGTGCTAAATAATTGTTTTGAAGTATTTGCCAAAAAAAAAACCTTGTATGTTTCATTTTAACTAATTTAACTTAGTAGATTTGACTTATTTATTGATTAAAATATCTTTCGAATTACAAATAACTAGTTATTTGATTTTCTAAACTTTTGTTATAGTGACTTAATGTGATAGTACTCTGTCATTGAAAAAGTAGTAAGTATTTGTAATAAAATTATAATATGATTGAAATAATAGAATTTAAGTAAATAATAAAATGTTAATGTAATTGAAAATGTAATTTCAATGTATGGGCAATTTTTGTGCTCCCAGCCTCCCATTTGTGCCATTTTCTGAAAACCTCGGCTCAGGCACGGGCCACATCTTCATGTCTTTTTTTGAGTTGTTCCTGGCTTGTGCATACCCAATGCTTCATATAGGTCTGACTCCTGTCCATCTAATTCTACCTATATCTCGAGATGAATATAAATCTTACAAAACCATGCAATTATTCTTAAATTGCTGAAGGATGTACTTAAATGCAGCACAACTACATTTTGTTATGTTTACCAAATTTCTTTTCAATTTTTTTTTTTCCTTTTATAATTGATATTATGCTAGGTATTACTAAATAACTGCCACGTATTGGTTCTAGCATCCAAAGATTGCTTACTTAGACTGTTAATTCTTGTAAAGATATTATATTTGCAATATGTAATACTTCATAGAAAACAGCTAGATGTGTAACCTTGACCATTTATTTGTTTAGAAATAATGATTATTAACAACATGAAAAACAATACTCCTATTTCCCCATATTAAAGTCTTATATCCCATTTGCACATGTTTTTAGGAGAGCTAAAATTGTGGTATTTGGTTGATTAAGAGTTAATGAAAAGTAGTAGATATTTCCTCCATTGCTTTTTAATCACAAAGTTTGGAATTTTACACTATTCACACACTCCTTTGACCGACTTATCCATTTTTATGCTTGGAAAAATATGGGCATGTTGGATCTTGTTTGATTCGTCTGGATATATATTTCCAAAATATCAACTTTTTATAAATTCTACTAAAATAAAATTAAAGATATTAATGAAATATAATGTGCTTTGACAAGTGTGAAATTCCCAATGTTGGAATTAATAAAGGATGGAGGAAGTACACTTTAAATTTTTTCGATAGGGGTGAGATAAAGTGGGGAACCATTTACCTGGGAGAGATAAATGAAGAATCAAAAAATGAAACCAAACCAATATTTGATTGAAATGGGACTTTATAGAGACTTATATATTTGGGTGAAATGAGACTTTTATTAGGGATGGTGAGAGTACCTGATCAAGTTGGAATAGAGAGAGTCAAAAGGAAAGTTTAAGGTGGTGTACACAAAATCAAGTATGGGCGGAGCCGCGGAGGGAGTCAATTTTAATGTTTAAGTGAAATCATCTAGTATAACAAAGTCTTGTCCCTTGGGTTTAGGGCATTGGTTCCGAGAGTGGATCGTAGAATCTTTGTGAAAAAACTTTATTTTCCGAACTTAATTTCTCAAAAAAAGGTTATATATGTTCTTTTTTATTATGCAAACCTTTTAATTTCTGGATTACAGGAGCTATACCATGAGTTGCATGCTTTGCATAGATTTGAGCAAGACTTCCAAGGGAAATGCAGGGTAGAGGGTAAGTATGACCATCTTTTTCATTAAGCTAACATATCTTTATTATTTAAGCTTCTGTTTCCCATGTTATAATCATTTAGCCAAAAATCCAAACACATGATGAGTTTATTTTAAATTTGACTAATGTTTTTTTTGAGAATTCTTTGATCTTGTTGATGCTGTGAATGTAAAATCGTCAATGAAAATGTAAAGCCCTTAGATCTAGCTCATCTAGTCAACCTAGCTTATTCTAGGCCACTAATATTAGCATGCTTCTCAAGTGTGGGATAAAAATTATGGAATTCTTATGCTTTGCCGTAGGAGAATTACTAACTATGATACTGTTTCAGAGTGCTGTAAGAATCTGTCCCTCAATTGGCCAGTTCTTTGGGTAATTGACTAATTGATTGTAGTTACCCCTGAAAATTTTCTTGAATAAAATTAAAACTAGGTTGATATTAGTGAACTGGTGAGGATTTCTTTGAATTTGAAATAGAATTTGGAATTTTTTTTTTCCAAAAAGAATGTCTGAAGTTGATTAGCATATGATTTCAACACCTTTGGCATGTGTGTATAGGAGAAACTCTCTTATCCTTTCTTTCGTGATTCATCATTTCTATTGCTCCCTCAATTGAACGTATAGTTCAAGATTCATGAACATAAAATATATTTACAACTTTTGAACTATATTTTCATCTGGAGACTAGGATGTGATCATGGTCTCAAGTCCATCATATAATATTTGTTGTAACAGTCTCTTTATTTTAGCTCTGATTCTTTACTTTTATAGCATTGAAGTTTGCCTGCCTGTATTTCAACAAAGAAAAAAAAAAAATTAAAAAATTAAAAAAAAATAAAAAATCTGATGGCTGTCAACATTGCCTTTACAATTTATGAAACTGCACTCTTCTTGCATAGCTGACAAGCTTTGCAATTTTTGCATGAAGAACTTAAAAAGCAGAAGAAATTAGTCAAGAAATTAAAGAAAAGATCACTTTGGAGCAGAAGTTTGGAAGAGGTATCATATCTGCTATAAATTTAGACATGTGAAAATATTGCTCCGTTGTTTCTGCAATCAGTGGATAGTTTGTACTGATTTCTAAGAAATACACGTGTTATTGCAGATAATGGAGAAGCTCGTTGACGTTGTCCTTTTTCTGCATACGGAAATTCGTAATAACTTTGATAATGATGGTATGTTACATATAATATTGACCTAATGCTTTAATGTATAAATACCTCTCACTTCTTCCAAAAAAAAAAAAAAAAAACCTCTCACAGAAAGAAAAAAAAAATGATGTAACATGTAAGACTATAAGAGGGGTAAGAATATGGTGATAGGTGTTTGTAAAAGTGCAATAACATAGAAGTGGGGTAGAAGCTGGCACTGTTTTGACCGTGTACTGCTGGAAAGCACCTACAGATTTTAAATTACTTAAGCTTGTAAGGATTCTTTATTTTCATTTTTTTTTATGACTTAACTAAAATTTCCCATGTAATTATGCATTCCAAGGGCAACCTGAAGATGCTGTAGAAAAAGTTGAAGATCCTGTAGGCAAATCCCAACGGCTCGGACCAGCTGGTCTTGCTCTGCATTATGCAAACATTATATTGCAAATTGATGGAATTGTGAGTCTTAAATTTATCTCTAGTATTCATTTACAGACTACATATATATAAAGTGCTAAACAAGTACTCCTTTTATTAATAAAGTGCTTCATATATCTTTGTTTGAATTTACCTAAAATGATATTTGACTCTTTGGATGGGTAAAGAATGCATCTATATATAGGTATATTCCCCCCCTAGAATAATTGTTCATTAAGAAGAAAGAAAGAATCTTGTTCCTAAAGGACTAGGAGTCTAGAAATGCTGCTGTAATAAGAGAAAGAAAGGTTTCAAAAATAATGAGCAAATTGGTGCAAGAAAGCTCCCTATGAATAATTAATATTTATAACTGGTTCCTTATAAGCTTCTCAATCGATTCTATAGTTATTGGCAACTAATGGAAGCAGGATATTTGTTATCTAAACCTTATCGAATAGTAGTGTCATCTTCTAATTTTTGAGAATAATCCATTATAATCCACTAAAAGGGCTCTATGTGCTCATGATACCTTACAACATGTTCAGTTCCTCCAAAATCATTCTGTGTTCTCTGAGAAATTTGAGTTTCTTATTATGTTCTCAGGTGGGTAGATCAAGTTCCATGCCTGCTAATGCTCGGGAATCGTTGTACCAAAGCCTTCCGCCAAGTATAAAATCATCTTTGCGCTCCAAGCTGCAATCATTTCATGTTAAAGAAGAGGTTTAATTATTATTTTTTTTAATTTTAAATTTCATGGAATGAATCATCAACTGTTAATTTAAGTTTGATTTTACAATGCTTAGCTTCTCTTTGACTATAAGCTATCTTCACGTAGGAATAACTTATTACACAGGGTATAATTATTCTTACAATGGTATGCACTTTGCAAGTTCATAACATAAACTTATAACCCTTTCCGCTGCAGCTAATAAAAGGTGACCTGACTTGACAAGTCAACCCTAAGATTATTGAAAAATAGCCAAAAAGATGACCTGACATGACAAGGCAAACTTGTAACATTTGCATACGATGTGGATATTGTTAAAATTTTGTTTCATAATTTACCTGGCCTCTACAATTTGAATGACAAATATATAAATGTTTTATATCTAATCCTTGAAGATAAATGATGCATTTTCTTTCGCAGTAATATTTTTTTTTTTATTTTTTTTTTTTTGTCATTGGTCGTATGACTCCATTTTTCTAATGTGCAGCTCAGTTTGCCAGATATTAAAGCTGAAATGGAGAAAACGTTAGAGTGGCTTGTTCCAATTGCTTCCAGCACTGTCAAGTGAGATGACCTTTCTTCCAGTAGTTTACCTTTCTTTTGATGACTCTTAAGTCTTAATTGTGTTATTATTTGGCTTTATCCTTCTAACGCCTTTTTCATTTTTTTTTTTTTGACTTGATTGCAATCAGGTCCCATCATGGTTTTGGTTGGGTTGGTGAATGGGCAAATTCTGGGTAATTTGATTGCTTATTTTCTTTATTTTGATAGCTTCTAATAGTATAGTCCACTGCTCCACTCCTATCTTATTAGGAAATTTCTATTCACTTCTTAAAGTTGTTACAATTGTTTGATAGATAGTAGAAATATACATTTGCAGGTTTGAGGCAAGTGATACATCTGCTGAAAAAGCTGATGTGATCCGCATTGAGACACTGTATCATGCTGATAAAGCGAAGACGGAAGCTTACATTACTGATCAATTGGTTTGGCTTCATCATTTGGTTTCCCAATCAAGAATATCGAGCATAAATTTCAGTATCAAGTCAGTTTCAAAACCCCCTGTTCCTTTACCCCCACGAAGAAAGCAGCAGGCCTCTGAAGTGGCAACTTGCAATGAACTATCTAATGTACCGACTGCAGAAGAGCATCAAATATTGAACGTCAATGATGTAGAGAATCAAACACCCGAATTCAGCAAGAGTCTGGATCCTGATGCTGTTATAGGACAGGTGGATATAATCAACCAAGTGAGTGTCAAAGGTTAATTAAATTAATACGCGTCGTTTTGATCTGGTTAGCCGATTTTACATAATGCAATTTGGTACTGTAACTGATGACAAAATTCCTTATAGAGTTCACGCGTGGTTGAGGAGCTAGTATAGTTATAATGTTGTATACTGTGTTTTTGAGAAGATGAAGCTAGTGGTAGTATTTATGGTCTTATATAGAGCACAAAGATGGTATTCATTTTCTTTGCTATCAGATGTAAAGTTGCATATCTTACATTACATTAGAAATGATAAATCAGTTGAGATCTTCCTGAAAGGTGCTCTTCGGTTCCAAGTTCTCTAACTTGTTTCCTTTTTGATAAATTTGCACCCTCAATCGTGACACTAAATTCGATCAAGATGAATAAGGATCCATTGCATCAATAACTAATGGAGATGAGACAAGTTTGGATTATTATTAAGGTTCAATTTGCTTTTACATTACATTAAACTTTCAAAACGCGCGCGCGCGCACACACACACATATATATATATATACCGTGTATATATATACACACACACACCTATTCAAAAAAAAAAAAATACACACTTATTGTAGGCGTCGTTTGAAGTGCGCCTATGTTAAAGCATGTGTGAATATGTCCGACAATCATAGGAAGTGAGAATTGACATTACCATTAGGGACAAAGCAAAGTAGGGAGCCGCCAACAAGTTTTTTAAGGAACTTGTAAACCGTTCACGGATCATAAAAGGCAACCACAATAAAGGGACAACGATAGGCAACAACGATTGACCCGTGAAGGTTACACCCCATTCATAATCCATGAGATTACTAACTCCATATGGTTCGGAACCACGAAAGGAGGATCGGGGATGATGGTACGAAGTGAGTCATGGAGTCACATTCGCCCGTATTGGCCTCTACTCGATTCTTATAGTGAAAAGTGATTCCTGCGATCTCAAAGGCATACAAACAAAAATTCAATTTGCTCCAAACTATTATTAAGCTAAATTGGTTTAATATTAATGCACCCACATAATTCTAAAATATTTGTGATCACTTGAATTAATTAACAGGATTAAAAAGGAACCTAAACCGGTTGTCCAAATTATCTTATTAGTCGTGATTTTCAATTACATATTCCCTTTAAACATGCAATATGGTGATCATAAAAATAATAGAATAAACATTAATATTGGAAGCAATTTAACAATAATATCATTAGTCAAATCAAATATAAAATAACCCTAATCATGATACTAGCAATATTAAAATAAAATTAGAGTAATTAAATTAATTAATTACTCACATTCCGCGCGTTCCTTTAAATTGCTACATCATGAATAAACTGTTAGTAACTTCAATAAAAATATAAATCAAATGGAAATTAAATTAAAGTAGAGTTTATTTGGTCCAAACCCTCAGTCAATTATACCTTTCACGCCTTGGTTTAAGGACGGAACCTCGGGTTTAGTATAGACTCTTTGGAGTGCTTAAGGGAAGAATGGTGTAATTAGGAATATAGGTTTAAGGCTTAGAATATGAGAGAGAGAGAGAGAGAGAGAGAGAGAAGAAGAATGATTTTTGGTGTCAAAGAGAGAAAGAGAGAAGGATTTGATCATCAAGCTTGTTGATGATTGAAAAAAGGGGTGATATGACCTCTATTTATTGGGAAAAAAGAGGGTCGAAGAATCAAGGAAAGATCGAGTTCGAATCGGATTAAAACTCTTGCGATAGACAGCAGTTTTTGCGGTAGACAGCAGAAATCGGAATAAGATGAATAAGATATCGTTGGAAAGCTATTGAAGTCTACTTTCTAACCCAATTGGAATCAGATTAAAATATTTTACAAAATAAAAGATATGACCGAAATAGTGAGACGGTGTCAGTTTTGGATAGAGTTTGATATTTTAATCATATATTTTCCGTTATAGCTCGGAATTAATATTATAATATATCATTGGAAAGATAATTTCAAGGGATATCCAACCATATAAAATTTGGATAAAAACTATGAGGCACGAAAATAATATCTGTCTATCTTTGAACGTCTTTCAATTCAAATAAAATTAGGATTTTCAAAAAAGAAGTTTTATTCAATTTCAAACTCTTTAATCTTATCTTTTCAAAATGGATAATTAAGATCTTTTAGAAACTTATAGAAGATTCCAATTAATCCTAATTGGTTTAAGAATTGGATTTAATAATTTGGACCCTCCACATGATCATTGGGTCGTAGGTAAGGTGGGCTTAGGTTCGGTTTAGGCTTAGTTTAATATTTTGGCCATAACTTATTCGTTATAACTCGGATTTGGGCATATAATATATCGTTGGAAATCTCTTTTCAAACCCCATCCAATTATTAAATCATTGGACCTAGATTATGAGCCAAAATAAACTGGATTAAACGTTTTTATAAAAAGGACACGAAATGAATGATTTTAAAGGCACGAAATGAATTATTTTGGGTTTAAAGGAACGAAAAGAGGAAAATAAGTTATGGTTTGGGCAAATGGGATAGAAGTTGGGTTGGTTTATGAAATGAAAATATGGATGTAAGCACTCTAAGAATTAAATACTCAACCCGACCAATAATGGCGGTGAAAGGTTGTTCATCATCGGGTTTGGTTTTGGGGAGACATTTTTAGGTGTCTACAGAAGCCCCCACTTTGACTGAGTTTGTAGAAACGTTAGTTTCGAAAATGATTGTTAAAGTAGCCGATAGGGACGGAGAATGATTTAAGACATTCTGCGATCCTAAATCACTCTGTATACGTCGATACCTGCAGAAAAATGTTAGTTCTACAGATAAAAAAGTAAAGGGATAGAATGCTTATCTGACACCAGTGTATCGGTGACAAATGAGTTTGGTATTTTCCTATGCTTGAAGGAATCCACCAGATGTCGTTTGTTGAAATGTTTTCCATGCTTTAGGAAAGCTGACAGATGAGTTTGGTAACTTTCTAAGCCTGAAGAAACCTACCGAATGACACTTTCCATGCTTGAGGAAAGTCGACATATGATTTTGGTGTTTTTCTATGCTTGAAGAAATCCACCTATAATGCTTTCCATGCTTGAGGAAAGCCGACAAAGGAATTTGGCGGTTTTCTATGCTTGAAGAAATCCACTTGATAATACTTTCCATGCTTGAGGAAAGTCGACAGATGATGAGGTTGCAAGTCTCTGTGTATCGAGAACCTTGCGTCATGAAATAATGGTGGTTCGATTGTACCCGAACGTGGGCTATAGATGGTTCGCTTGTCCCCGAACGTGGGTTGTAGATGGTCCGTTTGTCCCCGGACGCGGGATGTAGATGGTCCGCTTGTCCCCGGACGTGGGCTGTAAATGGTCCGCTTGTCCCCGGACGTGGGCTGTAGATGGTCCGCTTGTCCCCGGACGTGGGCTGTAGATGGTCCGCTTGTCCCCGGTCGTGCGCTTGTCCCCGGACGTGGGCTGTAAATGGTCCGCTTGTCCCCGGAAGTGGGTTGTAGATGGTCCGCTTGTCCCCGGACGTGGGCTGTAGGCCTGTAGATGGTCCGCTTGTCCCCGGACGTGGGCTGTAGTTGGTTCGCTTGTCCCCGAACATGGGCTATAGATGAGACCTGCAAAAATAAATTTGCCAATGGGCTCGTATATATTGTGATTGACTTGACCACTGACTTGACCAAGTTTGACTTGATGTGACATGACATGTGTATGACTTGTGAGTGTGTGTGTGTGTATATGTGTGTGTGTAGACACAAACAAACGAAGATGCAAAAGCAAAAATTTTCCGTCAATTTTTGTCATGAGTGGAGGATACTGACTTTCTCCCGAAAAAGAAAGATGTGAAAACTGAACTTTTATTTTCGAACTTCCCTCGATGAGAAAATTTTGAAAAAGTTTTTTTAAACTTCCCCAAAAGAAAAGACGCGGAAAAAAGGAAAGAAGTTTTGAACTTCCTCGTTGAGCAAGACGAAATGAATCGTATGGATTGAATTGCTTGTCCTGAAAATAATGTATGCATGATGCATGTTCTTAGGCCAGGAGGCTAAAGACAATTACATCATGTGACACGATAGATGAATGAACTTAAGTCATGGAGCTAAGCATCATATATGGTGTAAAGAAGCGATCTTGAACGTCACTTAGGTCTGGAAGCTAAGCATGTATATAGATGAAGTGATTATGAACGTTGCTTAGGTCAAGGAGCTAAGAACGATATGCTTTGTATTATTACAAATCATTGATATAGAAATGTTACTCAACACATTATGTGATGCATGAAACAATGAACATTGCTCAGGTCAAGAAGCTAAGCAATTATACAATGTTTCTTCTGATGAATGTTGTCTTGAAAGATGATGAAGCATGCGCGGTAGGGAAACAAGATTTCATGATAAAGGGTTCCTAAGGAAAAGATGATATGAATATGTATGTGTGAAAGTGATACTAAGGTGAGGCTGCAAAGGTTATGGTGATGGAAACATATGTGTGAAGAGTCAAAGATAATGACTCTTTAGGCTGGGTAAGCTAATGTGATGTGGGTTCAAGCCCCCAAGTCTAGCTCTAAATGGGTAGGGATAAGCATTGGATATTCTTTGACTCGATCAAGCATGGGTATGAATATAAATGTGAATATGAATGTGAATGTGGCCGCACCTCGATATGAGGTTGCCTACGTATCCGTTAGGAATCAGGCCAACGTAGCTCTAACCGAACTTTGCACAAGTGTGTGTACACCTCAAAGAGGTCTTTCAAGGGTTGTAATGTGGTTAAGCTGAAGGTTTAAGGAAGAAAGGGGTAAAAGGCTCAAGACCCGAGAGAAGCCCCCAAGATATGCAATTATGTATTAGACTTTGCAAGTTTTATTTTCATTTTTTTTTTGAATTTCTTTTTTTTTTTCTTTTATTCTTTTGAATCAATGTAGGCAATCTCAGATCATGCGGTCCATCACTCACTTAGCATTCATGTTTCTCAGGCACGGTACCAAGCACTCGATGAGAGACGCAATTTGAGACGTGTTCATATCAAAGACATTGGAACACTTGCCTTTAGACATTGTTTTATTGTTGCTTTGCTGCTTTTTTTTTATTTTTTTTTTTACTTGCTTTTTGAATGTTATACAATTACACATCTTCCAATCCCAGGGTTAAGTGAATATGGGTTAAAGAAATGAAGGCCAAACGTTAGACGAGACTCAAAGTGGTTGATGAAGAAATGGAATGTGATTGAACGGTTAACAGGGAATGACAGGGTTGCAAAGGTGCCTCAAGTCATTGGTGTACCTTGTGTTCAGTTCGGCAATTTTTTTTTATTTTTGCGCATGACATGATCGAATGTAAAGGAAAGAA